ATCGGACCCAAATCGGACCCAAATCGGACCCAAATCGGACCCAAATCGGACCCAAATCGGACCCAAATCGGACCCAAATCGGACCCAAATCGGACCCAAATCGGACCCAGGGTAAAGAAGATTTTTAAAGATGACAAACAGGTATATAAACAAGTATACAAATATTCAGACTTCAGTTAATAAATGTTTTATTTAATACTGTTTACCTTAACGATTATAATCAACAGAATTAATTCTGCATGACATTTATAATAATTTTGAAGTTGATTGCTTTAACAATTCCTTTTGGATATAAGCTTGAACATATCACCCTTGCACTACAAAATTATTAGTGGAACATTTTAACTTGTAAATTAATACTGATAAATAATTTACACGATAACCAACACAAATAGTGTTCAAACACACAGCTGTTAAGCAAAATGCAGGAACCTTTCTAATTTGGGGAAATCACAATTCCTAATCACGTTCAATCCAGCATACATCAAACACTACCATAAGTCACAAAATTAGATGATTCAAGAAAAAATAGAACATTCCAGAGAGGTGTGCACGTAATAAGTGAATTCATAAATACTTAAATTTTCATTTGTTTCCACAATTGAATTGCATTACCACCTTTTACATTAAAATGTAGATTTGCTCTTTAAATATAAAAGCTGAGTCACTGATCACTATTTTCATTATCATTTTCATTATTGATTAATTGTGAATGAATTAGTACTAAAATTTGACCAAGCAAGTGTTTGTACAACAATCTTGAAAAATAGTTCATCCCCTGCACAGCTATTAGGCCATTTCTGAACACTTTTACCCAAAAAATATTAGGTTCACCAAGTTCAACTTTCATCAGAAAAAGCAGCAATTTTAAAAATGTTGACAGAATGTCACAGGTATGATAAGATTAATGACCTCAGAATCCATTCGCATTTTTCAATTCCATTACATTTTAAATAGGATTTTTCCCTGTTTAAAGGTTTTCATTCATTTATTCACAATTATACAAATACAGTTCCATTATAAAATCAATATTTCATGGGTTGAAAAAAATCAAAACCTAGTCCCCAACATTCTTGCCCTAGCTATTACATATATGCATCTGTTTAGAGTCAAATTAAAGTGACTAACATGGTGTCTGCTGGAGACATTCTCACTTGGGGTCCTGAGTGGTTTGGGTCCCTGCCTCACAAGCATCCTCAGAGTGGCCCATTAAGCAGACTGGTATCTCCATGGAAGGAGTCTTCTATGACGATGTCACAAGGTAAGATTTCAAACTTCACCGTCTGACCTAAAATGAAGAGGAAAAAACACAATCCTTGCTCTAAATACTATCGACTAAAAAGCCGTTGAAAAATGCGTCACACTCGATAAAGGGAACCAGATTAACCCCCTTGGGCATAAAAACATATTGAAATTGGAGGATTTAGCACTGTTAAGATTAAGGTACAAAATCTATAAAACCATAGTTCCTTTACTATGCCCGGCCTCCAATTCTCTCATAAAATGGCCATGGCACAGTATGGATTTATCTAAAAGAGAATAAATACAATGTACCTCAAATACAAATAGTAATAAATTTAATGAACCATTCCTTTTCACTATCCCCGTGATGTTTTTATGAAGGTATACTTTACAACTGAGGACTTCTGAATGCAAATTTCCACCAGTGGCCATGTTGGAGGAAAGCTTAGGCTGGATTAATTCCCAACACAGCCTCTCATGTTTTTCTTCCCTTTACATGGCATCTGAAAACAGGGCCGGAACCAGTAGGTGGGGAAAAAATTGGCACTTTTATACTAATTCACTCTGCAGGTAAGTTTTAACTGGTTGAAAAGAACAGCAAGAGAGGTTTGGTGACATCTGTTTCAAAGTACATGTAAATGAAGGACCAACACTTTAAAGGGTTCTAGCTGCATTCATAAATAAGTCTGAACTGTTTTTCACCATGCTCAAAGTACTGTTTTTCCTTTATTTCCAAAATAAAATTCACATTTTCTTCAAATCAGCCTCCCCCCAAAAAGAACTTCAGGTGACTGTATCAAAATATGGGAGGTTTTTTGTGAAACGGGAAGCATACCTAGGTTTCTTTTTGGCCTGACTGTATGTAATATTACTGTGGAGTGTGATGAAATGGGATGGCAAACTGCCCCAAACTAGCTTTATGGATCATTCTGGATCTAAAAGACCACGCAAATAAAACAACACACATCAAACTTAGTGTGTCATTCCAGTTTTCTGGTGAAGATCGTAAACTTGTCAATTCTGCATCAGTGAATTTCTGGCATTTTTCCTTTTTTTGAATTAATAATGTTTGTAAAAAAATGCCAAATCTTACCAATGATTCTTTCCCCGATTATCCATGAAGATGTGTCATCATCAGTGACTGGATTGACGCCCAGCGCAAAGAACAGGTTTTGGTACTCTGGTAAACCCATAATTTCAAAGATCTCCACAGTTACAACACCGTAACTGGCTAGGGTTAACACTTGACTGAAACCGACAACACCTGATGAAAACCAGAGAGAAAAAAACATGAGAGAAAATAAACAAATTTTTGCATGGAGAAAGAGGTACAGACTTAAAAGATGAGACTGAGAAGAGGCAAAATATGAACTATAATAATATAAACTATGAAATTTGAACAATATTGCAGCTTGCAATATGACTTGCGACTTGTGTTTTGGATTGCAGGCCACAACTTGTAAAACCACCTTGTACAGGTTCAGGCCATATCCTAAAAAGGCTGTATATGCTAAAAAGGAATAAAAACAGAAGGAACTTTATCATTACCGTCATGTTTCAGTATCTGCAGTTCTTCATACTCGCTGATCGCGGCCATGTAGAGATCAGGACCAATGTGGAACATCGCAACATCCACTGCTGCAGTAAAGTCAACCATTTCCCTCAGCTCAAACTCCCCCGTTGTTTTGGACAAGAAGTACACCTATAAACCACAAACCAAGAGGGGCTTTTAAGACTTCCACACCATGCATATTTAGTTTACCGCTCAATGTGTTGTTCAGTCTGGAGCAAATAAATGTGTTGAAATTTCCAATTTCAAGTCCGAGTATGTCTCAGATTTTTTGGGGCTGTTCATGTATATAGTGCAGTCAATGCTTGCAACTGAAAAGACAAGGAACAAACAGCTACAAACAAAACCTTACCTCAATAGGCACATCGTAGGAAACCTTGTTATTTGCATAGAGCTGTGCTTGATTGGCAAATGCCAGCCCGGCGTTGCCTTGGAACTTGAAACTTGCCACTGAGGCCGCATAGCTGGTGGACACATACTGGTGAAAATCAAACTGGCCAGTCTAACAGATGAAGAAGAAAAATATAACATAACCAAAAGTAAGGTAATAGCATGGTCTCTGATATCAGTTCATTAGGTTACTGACTCAACACTTTGTTTTGCAGACTTCACAAAGTGCCAGAGGAGGGAACTCACATGCACAATATGCATCCAGAATAGGAATTTCATTTTGGCACTGAATTGATACTGAAAACTAGGAACCAGCTTCTGGAATGGTATTTTTGTGTCGTTCATGCACTTAATTGTAAGAAAACTATTGGTGGAGGCTCCTTAGCATTAACTTCATACATGAGCTTTCTCCAAGTCATGTGATATAGAACATAGTTTGAAAAACGTAGGATTCATATAAACCAGTCACACATCATGCGTGATTACCTGACCAATCAACTTACCTGCGTGTTGAATATGTAAACAGGGCTCTGGGTTGGACTGACAGCCGCAAATACTAGGAAATTTGTGTTGCCTGCTTGCAAGAACTCAACAGCTGTCGCTCCTGGGGTAAACAGTTAATTGCAATAGAAACTATTTAACCATGTCCTTGCAAAGATGAAAGGAATAATTCATGTATCTTCAGAGGTTTTTCAGGTTTTTTGATATTTGACTTTGAAATTGAAAGAACTTCATAGGTTTATGTGATTCACAATTTGTAATAATTTGCTCTGGTGTTTCTCAGACCCAACTATGGAGGCAAATTCTCCATGCAAAAATGCAAGAATATGGCAACTTCAGGGTTCAAATTGGCAAAGAGCGAAGGGGGGATGTTGCCACGATTCTCCCAAAAGAGACATTTTTAAAATTAAAAAGGAGACAAGGATATTTTTTTTGTAACACTTCATTTTCCTTGCCTACCTAAGGCGTGATAAACACCCTAAATGTTAGCCTCATACCTGAGAAGGACCATCAAATTTACATGGAGATATCTTACTTATGGTCCCCTTCCGTAGTTCTAATGTCCCAGACCAGGGCCCTATTTCATGGCGCTGCTTAACAGTTAGCAGTAAAGTTGTGCTCACGATAGCCGAAAATTTTGCTACCCGCAGCACATGCATAGAGATTTCCATTGTTTTGTCACTACATTAAGCAAATTTTTCTTTGGAGACTAGCATGCCTTTTGCTGTGCTAACTGCTAGTACGGTCTCCATGAAATACACAGAGCCTCTATTAGTATAAAATTGTTTGCTTAGCAGCGACATGAAATTGGGACCAGGCTCTTTATAACAAATCAAGCACTGCTGGGAGGTTGTGGATTCATGCCCTCCACCAATCAAGTTTTCCCAGGTGGTTTCTCCTGAACATTTTCGGCCTGAAATTTCGAAGCAAGAAATCTCTTATAAAAACAGATCAGTGACTTGATGTCCTATGGAACGCCAAAGCAGTGATTACCTCCGACGCTAAAGTTCTGCGCTTCATAAAACAGTCCGTCTTGGGCTTGCAAATAGAGGGTGGACAGGGCACTGGTCTTGGTGTTGGCTAGAGCCAGATACAGGTCACCATCAATGACTGTTGTGTCGATCTCTCGGGACTCCGATGACTCGAGGCCTTGATGCTCCAGGAAGTGGGTGCCGTTGTAGTAATAGATGGTGTTATTGACACTGTCATCTACATGAAATGTGCAAAACCAACCCAATCAATGACACTGGCCAAAAACCTTAAGTAATGATGACAAACAGAGCATATACAGCGCATCAAAGTCTCAAAGTGCTTCACAGCCGTTACCCCCCTGCTCACTAAACCATGAGATCAGTGTCTGTCGCAGCAACCAAATCACTGGTAGACTGATAGTTAATTATGCACCCCTGTATCAGTGAAAAGCAGACAAACTTGACCACATTCACACAAAAGAAAATTTCTTAGGCTTAAGCAGCTGCAGAAAAATTACTCCATTTTTGAAACTCCAAAAGTAGGTATTCGGACTGAAATTCTATGACAGAAACCAGTGGAGTAACGGTAGTGGTTTGGAGGTGGGGGTGGGGCACTCAGTGGATTTGGTCCAGTTCAAACAATCACTATCATCAGATTTCTTTCCCTTCTCTTATTGCCAAGTGGGAGGGGCACGGGAAGGCGGGCCACAAGTCTCAAACAAGGGAGGGGGTGGCATGCCCCAACCCCAAGCCCCATTTAGCTATGCCACTAGAGAAAAACAGAAGTGAATAACATATGAAATCCATTAAGTCAATCAGGACATCTGAATTTCACACTGCAAGTCCAAAACAGTCATAGAATTTTTATCCTTACCTCCACTGCATGGATTAGTGCCTTCATTTGCTATAGCAATGTACTGTGTTCCTTGTCTCCTGAAAGCATGCCAGCTGTACGCACCATTAGTTGCAATAGCCGCTAAGGTAAAGAATGAAGCAAAACCAGATCTCCAATAATACACCAGGCAACAGAATATAATTGATTATCTCAAGCATCTAACACATATTAATTCTGAGACCTTGCACAACACTTCTGAAATGTTTTCTGAGCGAAGCGTTTTTCTTTGCACTTTCAGAATACATTCTTGGGAGATCCAGCTTTGCTATGAGGCACAAATCTACTGATTTTTTAATCAGGGCCTGTCTTATGAAGCTGTCAATTAAAATGCATTACCAGATCAAACAAAATGATTCTTAAAGCCATCAAGCCACAACTTCTCTTCAGTGGCATGGAACTGATTGTCATAAATTGACCATGAAATTGAAATTAACTGGTAAGCTGTAACCATTACATTGAGCTACAACACCTTGGCTTCATCAGCTACTCCGACACAAACCTTTCTGGACGAACTCGTAGCTATCTTCGTCCCACGCATAGACGTAGCTGTCTACACACAGGTTGTTGACACTGTCTGAATGGATGGCCAAGGCCAAATGAGTGACGTCGTCCAGCACAAATGACTCAAAGCTCTGAATCCGAAACTCCATCTCTTGGACTTCAGAGGTGTGAGAAAATTCTTCCACTGTGTCTGAAACCAACACAGAACAGAATGTTATCATGGACCAAATTCATTTTAAAACTTTTCTGGGGTAGGGTTGTAGTGAGAGATGTTCTGCTTTGAGGTATTGAGTCTGCTTCTAACATTCAAGAGGGCATAAAGCAGGGGCATAAACTCTGGGGTATGGGGATATATATCCCCCCCACACACTTTTTAGTGGTGACGAAAAAAGTAAGGCCCATTTTCAAGAATATCTTGGACTTCCTTACAACCACAATATATTCATTAGCACCGAAAAAACAAAGGGAAAAATGGGAAAAAAGCTGTAAATATGCTGTTTTGGTGCAAGGTTCAGGGGTGTAAGAATACATATTAAAAACATACATTTATATCATGAGGAATGCCCCCAGTGTCAGATGGTCTCAAGCCCCCACTTTTCATGGCCGGGAAATATTTTGGACTTACGTCATCCCCAGTCCCCAGCTGTACCACTGGGATAAAGTAGAAGATTGATGTATGCCTAATACATTTTGTTTATCCACAAAATATGAATTTTTGCCCACTAAAGCACAATTTGTGCCTCCAAAGACAAATACTTTGGTGCTATGAACTATTCTCACAGACAGAAATGTCAGCTTCCCCACTGGCAGTGCTGTAACTAAGGTTGGCATAAGGTTGGTCCCCCCGAGAAGGGGAAAAAAAATTAGTGGGAGTTTGCCTCGTTCAGTGCTCTACCTATCACTCCATGAGAACATGGTTGTCCAGATTCTAACGTGTCCCCTCCAGAAAATGACAGACCCCCAAGTGTCCTTCCTCCCTGCCACTGCTACTGCCACTGCCCGCTGGTGACATTACTTACTTGCATAGGCCCGCTGCAGGTGTTTGACAGCAAGGCACTGGTCGGCAGAGATTAGTAATAGATTCTCAACGTCCACTCGGATCCAGCTCAGCAGAGTCTCATGCAGGGACCACAGGTACGGCAGCGAGACTCCATCAAACAGGTTAGCGACGGTCACATTGCGCCTCAGGGTCACGTGGCCTTGAAAGGTCAGCAGGCCACGGACGGATTCGTTGCTGGTCAGGGTGGCTCGCTCCGTCACGAGGTCAGTCAGATTAACTCCGTCCACAAAGCCTGGTCAATGAGGGTCGTGGGACGATAAAACAAACTTGAAAAGGGCTGTGCGTTGAGAGTGTCCTTGCCTGGTCTTGTGCAAAATAATGATGGTCAGAACCTACTGAGCCGGACTTACAAATGGAACTGCTTGGCTTATCAGAGTAATAAGTAACATTTGTTTCAGATTTGTTCTTACACAAACCAAGACACACGCGATCTGACATTTCCTCATTTATACTAAAATTTACGTATTTGTCAGCAAAGGGCTGATACATCCGGTAAACAGCACACTGGGGAAAAATACTTGCCTACTACTGTCATGTTCCCATTCACAATGACAGGTACGGTGAAGGAGATAGTGCCCCCTATTGTCTGGTCGGTGTTGAGGGTCACTGCCTCTTCGTTCAAGTCCACGCCATCAACCAACCCTGTGACGACGATGTCGCCTGTCACCCTGACAGACTGTGTGAATTGTTTGGGTGCTGTGACATTCTGGGGGCTGTTCAGTTTGAAGGTTCTGGTGTACAGGTTAGAGATGTCCACACCATTGACAAACCCTGTTGTGAGAAGACCAAAAGAGAAGTTAGGGACACACTGAAAACTGGGGGAAAAAACGGTTAGCCAAAATGTTGTTTGCATTAAGATACTTTTGCGAGCAAATATAGCTTGAAATAATTATTTCTACATTTCAGCTTCACACTTTTCTGTAAGAGCAAGAAATGCAAGACTTTGCTGCGTTTTCTAAAAATCAAGTTTAACCAATCAAAAAATGCCATACCTGTGATATTGATGTGTCCATTTACGATGATGGACTTCATGAACGTTTTGACTCCTGTAATTTCTTCATTACCTGATGAAAACGCAGACCATCGCATATAACAATCAAGTAGTCAGTACCCAGCAACTATGACTCTTTGGGCCAGTGTTACTCTCCATTACTAGCATACTCTCGTGATAAGTGGTCCGGATGCCTTGAATAGGAAAACCCCATTGGCCGGAGGTTTTGTGCATAGCGTTTATCTCCATTATATATTACTGCTGGCCTCAGTCGTAAATTTCATCTTTCAGTTCTTCTTCTTCTTAGTTCTGCAAACAAACTCCTAAAACTGGATCTACTGTTGCAGGTGTGTCGTGGCCAGTGTATACTCCTAATGATTAGTAGTATACACTGGCCACGACACAAAGTAATGGGCCCCCCCTAATAAAGGTAGTTCGATCCAGTTTGTGAGGGTTGACGTGTGGCCGCAAGTCAATGGTTTTGGACATGCATGCTCTGGAGTACTGTTGATGGCTGTGTTGTGTCGGCTGTGGCCAACAGGCATTTGCTTACTTACATGGAGGGTGCATACACATAAATCAGTAATAATATTGATGGCTGTCTTAATACCACATTTGAAGTGAATTAACTTAAATGCATGTAGGTATATGTACATGTATGTTCTATATTTAGTGTGGTTTTCATCACCACTTGAATTGGGGCAGGGGGCGGACAATTGTCATCGGAAATACACGTACTGGACCCCATTTTTTGGATAAGGGGGTCGGACACTTATCATTAGAAATACACTTGACCCCCCTTTTTAGAATAAGGGAAGTCGGACGTTTATTATTGGACGCTTACCATTGGAAATACACTCGACCCCCTCTTTTTGCAAAAAAGGATCGGACATTTTTCATTGGAAATACACTGGACCCCCTTTTTAGAATAAGGGGATCAGAAGTTTGTCATTGGAAATACACTCGACCCCCTTTTGAGAATAAGGGGGTCGGACATTTGTCATTGGAAATCTCAACCCCTCTTTTAAAAAAAGGGGGTTGGATGTTTGTCATTGGAAATACACTCAACCCCCTTTTTAGAATAAGGGGGTGGGACCGTGGAAATACACTTGACCCCAGTCATCATTGGAAATACATTCGACCCCTCTTTTTGGAAAAAGGGGGTCGGATATTTTTCATTGGAAATATACTGGACCCCTTCTTAGAATAAGAGGGATCAGGAGTTTGTCATTGGAAATACACTCGACCCCCTTTTTAGAATAAGGGGTTGGACATTTTTAATAATAAGGGGTTGAACTTAGCTAATCATTGGAAATACACTCCACCCCCTTTTAGAATAAGGGGGTTGAACGTTTTTAACAATAAGGGGTTGAAATCAGGTAATCATTGGAAATACACACAAACCCCCTTTTCAGAATAAGGGGAGTTGGACGCTTATCGTTGGAAATACACTCGACCCTTTTTTAGAATAAGGGGGTCGGATGTTTGATGTTTTGTCTTTTTAGAAAAAGGGAGGTCCGCCTTTTGTTATTGGAAATACACTCGACCAAACTTTTTAAAATAAGGGGAATAGGCCGTTTTTAGAATAAAGGGGTTGGAAGTATATCATTGGAAATACACTCGACCGCCTTTTTCAAATGAGGGGGTCCGGTGCTATCATTGGAAATACACTCGACCCCCCTCTTTTTGGAAAAAGGGGATCAAACATTTTTCATTGGAAATACACTCAACCCCCTTTTTAGGATAAGGGGGATTGGACGTTTGACATTTGTCTTTTTAGGAAAGGGAAGACGGACATTTGTCATTGGAAATACACTGGACCCCCACGTAGAATAAGGGCCAGGGGTTGGACGTTTACCATTGGAAATACACTCGATCCTCTCTTTTGGAAAAAGGGGGTCAGACATTTTGCATTGGAAATACACCGCACCCCCCTTTTTAGAATAAGGGGAGCTGACGTTTGACATTGGAATAACACTCAAACCCCCTTTTTAAAAGAAGGGGGTTTCGATGCTTATTATTGGAAATACACTCGACCCCACTTTTTAGAATAAGTCGAGCCAGACGTTTGCTATTGAAAATACACTGCACCCACTTTTTAGAATAAGGGCCGGAGGTCAGATGTTTGTCATTGGAAATACACTCAACCCCCTTTTTAGAATCAGGGGGGACGGACGTTTGTCACTGGAAATCCCAACCCTTTTTTTTTTAAATAAGGGGGGCTTGAAAATATATTGGAAATACACTCGACCCACCTATAAGGGTGGTCGGATGCTTATCGGACGCATAAGGTGGTAGAAATTAGCTAATTATTGGAAATACATTCGACCCCCTTTTCAGACTGAGGGGATCAGAAGTTTGTCATTGGAAATACACTCGACTTCCTTTTTAGAATAAGGGGGGTCGGAAGTTTGTCATTGGAAATCTCAACCCCTCTTTTAAAAAAGAGGAGTTCAGACCTTTTTCACTGGAATAAGCTCGACCCCGTTTTTAGAACAAGCGGGTCGGACAGTTATCATTGGAAATACACTCGACCCTCTCTTTTTGGGAAAAGGGGGTCGGACATTTGACATTGGAAATACACTAGACACCCCCCCCCTTTTTTAGTATAAGGGGGTTCAGAAGTTTGTCATTGGAAATGCGCTTGACCCCTTTTTAGAATAAAGGGGGTCAGACATATCATTGGCAATACACTCAACCCGCTTTTTAGAATATGGGGAGTCGGATGGTTTTTAGAATAAGGGGGTGGGAAGCTTATTATTGGAAATACTATTACTAAAATATTCATTCACAAATAGCTGATTTACTGCATGGTCTTAAATCGCTCCACGAATTTGTTACAGCTTTTAAAATTTTTTGTGGTGGTGTTAATTTTGTAATTACTGAAACTTTTAACATAACTTGCACAGAGGATTCGTGTAAGTATACCAAGGAATAAAGATTAGATAGTCGGGAAGCTGTTCAGTTGTGTTTAAGAATTCTTCATTACAGTTTTACATGTGTAACCCATGTTCACATTTCAAAATAGCAGGAACCAAATTTCATATTAATTTAATTCCCTTTTGAAAAAACTCTTCACTTCACACAATTCAGCATTTATGATACAAAAGAGATTTTACTTTATTGAAGGGAAACAGCCAAGCCAATCAATACGAGAAATACAAAGTAAATGCAGAGAACCCCAATTCAGATGGCCACAAATTAAAATATGAGGTTTGCAGAAAATGCGGGATCCTGTTAAGTTAAAATACACTTTGAGCTCAAGAAAAAAAATTTTGGCGCAGATGTTCTAGATGTACACATGAGTTGCGATGAGTCGTTCCAAGGTGGGATGACAGGAGTCCGTTGTGTTGTGTAGGCAGTCGGCAAAAGTGAAGGGCAAAGTTCAGCAGAAGAAATGTAATGCAAAAGAATACTTGCAGATCTTGCAAGGTTAGTGCTGGTGATTAGTGCCGCAGATGCCTTGCTGTACTTGTGCTGTGTCTGCAAGTCACAATATATGTAGCTTGGTGGCTGAGAGGCCTGAGGACAGCTCTTCAGGTGGACTACAGAGACTCTTGTCCGGCACCCTCTTTCAGAACATGCAGTTCAGTAACTAAGACAAAGAGCCAACACTCGTGAACATACATGTAAGGGGAAGACTTGAATTTTGAAGTCCTCCAGTCCAAAGAAAAGTAGTGCAGAGCACAGACAGAGTTCGGCAGGCATGTAGTCAGCACGACGGCAAAGTTTGGAATGCCCAGCTTGCCAAAACTCTGGGGCAAACTGCTCCCCAGAACATGCCCTTGCCACATGACTAGCTCAGGCTCTAATTGGACAACTTAAAAAGTGCCACACACGACTCCAATACTGATTGGTCATCTAGTATCTAGGCAGATGAGCACTCAGCAGAAGTTTATGGCTTTAACAGCTTGGAGTAAGGTGTGAACAACAACTAGGGATTAAGTGTCTCAACATCCTGCTGATCTCCTATAAAATTTACTGGGATTGTACACACTGGTGTACTAGTCAGAGATTAAAGGCAGTGGATACAAAGAGCATCCTGTGATCTTCTAGGAGAGCAGGAACATTAGAAATAAACCGATGAAAGAGCAGACTATTTGACAAAAGGAATAGGCAATAGCTCAAAGGTTAACCACTGCAGCACTGCTTACCAGTAGAAAAGTCAAAGCTCAGGAGAGAACAATTTAAGTATGCAAAAGGAAAACAGTCATAAAGAAATAAAATTTTAAATTGTAACCCAAGACCTCTTTTGGGACGGGGTTACATCCTCCCCTTTCATAACTTGCTAACTCCAGGAGCAAAAGGAAAAGAGAAAACAAGGGTATAGGTACAAATACACATACATACCTAATGACCAAAAACCTTTGCTTTCAATTTGGCAAACATCCCATGAGTTTGAATTTGCCGGGAAAACACAGGTTTCACCTCAAACTTCATCCGCAGGAGTGGACTTGACACCCGAGTTGATCGTCTAACAAAACTTGACTCAGGAGTATGAGTGTCTTTAACAGTCGGCTATTATCGTGAGTACTTGATGGAGAGGTCACAAGTGCTGATGATGCGACAGGACTATCTGCTGTAGGCGCCTCTGTTACATCCGTGTCAGGCAGGGAAAGATTCCATGACACTGGAGACGCCATTGAGGTTCCAGATGATTCTTCGATGTTATCCAGGATTTTCCCACAAGGAGACGAAGGCTGCTCAGAGGCTGAGTTTCCCTCAACGCCACGAACTTCCTCAAAAGAAAGTGGACGACATTCTGGGGTTAAGCATGGTTCACCCGCTTGTGGGAGAGGGACAAACTCTGGGGCCTCTGCATTAAGTGAAGATTGAAGCAGTTGTTTGGGGATGACCAGAACCAGCTCATCATCACTGGAATCTGGACTCCCAGATGAATCTGATGGACATTGTGAAACCTTTGCCTTAGCTGTGGCACTCGTGACGGGACGACTTCGTTTGGTGCCTGGATGGTGGGACTCTTCGCCATTAAGATAGTCCATGGGCAACAAGATATTTCTGTGTAGGGTTCGGACACGCCCATCACCAGTCTCTGGTTTGACGCGATAGACT